ATTTTGATTGCATTTAATTTAGTGCAATTGTGCTATACATTAATTCTATTAAATATTATTTATATACAATACACAATATGTTATTGATTATTGTTATTTTAACTAATATATATTAATTTTATATTTATTGTAGTAAAAGAAATTAATTGTGTTACTGGGGAAAGTAAATGGCTGCAATTACTACAGAAATGCTTGGAGATGCTGTATAAGTGGATTAAATATAACATAGTTATCGTGTTATTTTAAAATAAAATTAAAATTCATAATAATTTAATAATGTTTTTACTATAAAGTTTTAATGCTTTTAATTAAATAAAATTGTTAAAACTTTGTTTTCAGAACAAAATCTGTAATCATTATAAAATACATATATAAAAAGTTGAAAGCTTGTGAGAGTACTTAACATATTTATGGATTATTTTAATAAAGTTGCTTAGGACCCAGGCCTTAATCCATGACACTTGCAGCCCAAAAATTGTATACGGATAATTAAACCAATAGATTTTGTTACAAGACCAATAATGATAAATATTTGGCGGTAGCCGTAACAGCTGTATATACCATATAAGAATCAAGAATTCCCTTGATTAAAATTTGAAAATTTCTTTACCTTTAAAGCTTGTAATGGTTAAAATGGAACTATTTTTATTTTTAAGTGACATATAATTTTTGTCAACGAACAAATTTTCAGTTTTAATATATATGATTGTTTATTTATATAGAGGTTTCGAAAAGTAGTGAACTACAACAACAAATATATTTTTATATTATTTTAATTAATTAAATTTTTGACTGACCACACAGCTGTTTCGAGTATTGCCAAATACCCATTATTAGTGATCTTGAAAATAATTCTTGTGTTTAATTATGTGTAAATAATTTTTTGAGACTGCAAGTACTAGAGATTTAACTCGTGCCCTGCCAAATTTGAAGCTCAGAGTCAGCGTTCATTATATTCGTGTAATATTTGAATATGTGTATGTTGGTTATTTTTAGAATAAAGCAAATTCTCAGTCAATTACAACTTGTAAAAATAACCATTTTTAGAAACAATTTATGAGTATTCTTTAAAAGCTCTAAAAATGCACACGTATATGAAGATAATATATTGAAGATGATTTGTTGCATTTCTCCTCCGGTACCATTCAAAAAGTACTCATCAATGAAAAAATATTGGTAAAACAAAAAATAATTATTTAAGGCTCTAAAAAAACTTCATTAATGAACAAAATGATCAGATATGTGAAAATCGATTAAACAATTCTGATATACAATATGAAAAATGGAAATGGAATAAAAGAATCACAAAAATTATGGCATACGAGTAATTCGGATGTAATTTATACTATGAATCTAGTGCAATCAAAATATATACTATATATACTATATATCAATAATTTTTTGTGTTGAAAGTCCGCAATAGTTACTTGAGCTATAGTTTAGCAGCTTCGTTGGCTGAGTGTATCCATTGGATGAAACCGGTACGGCTATAAAGGTGTCGGATTTGATGACCGCTGATGAAAAACGAGGTAGTTCATGTCCGTATCTTTGGTGAAAGCATCAGTTGACTAACGATATAAATACACTGGGTACTACTAACTGGCGACAGCAAGCCTCTAAAGGCGCTGGCTAGCGTGGGTTACTAGAAACACCCAAAGACGTCTCACATTTGTAGTTACTAAGATAAAATGGTAGGTAAGTCTTATCGTATATAAGATAGGCAAAAGTTATATTTAGTTAGTTTCTATGTCATATTATTTTTCATTTCAAAAAGTGACCTCTTAATTTGATCCCTCTATAAAGCTCATTGTTTTGCTTAAATCAATAATGAGTTAACGTACGGTTGCAGAGGGTTAATATCTATAACTTTCTTTTGCTAATACGGAACAAAATCATATCTCAAGAATTTTAACCACCTTCTATATTTTTTTTTGCCTGCTCAAGAAGTCAAAATTAATCTAATACGATTATTATTTATGACAAACACATAGTAAATTTTTATAATTTAGAGCTCGAAGATTTTATGAAAAATCATAATTTTTATCATATTATTATATTCTTTACTAACTTCACACAGCTACGTCATTAACTACCTACATCTCCTGAACCATTCCTAATATAATTTTATAAATCTTGAATATCTTCCACACATAAATATCAAATCGTTTCGAAGAAAATAAAGACCGTGAAGTCATCTCGAGATATGTTGGGTGCTTGTTTGGAATATATCGCATATATGTCAGCTACTTCCAATTAAAGAAAACAATCAATGGCGATTATTACGATATTATTTATTAGTATTGCATTTTTTCAATAACAACTTCGAAGAAAATAATTCGATTTAGTTAAGAGAAATAGTCGCTTCCATTAAGGCAATGCACAGGTCCAACAGTGTATCAATATTATGGCAAAATATTATATGATTGTTTATGAATCGCGTCCCTATTTATCTCATTCGCTACATATGAACTGCATACACTATATCCTATTTCCAAATCTAAAGAAATGGTTGTGACACTAGACATTAACTAATTGACGAGACGGTGACTTATTCTGAGTAATTGGACAAATCATATGATTAAGACGATTACGAAATTGTGGAATCAAATTTATCAAGCTAAAAAAAACTTTCTACATTTATATTATATGTAGAAAGTTCAAATCAGACTGAAGGGTTAGCTAAACCATTCATTAAATAGTTTAATGATTGGCTTAAAATAGAGATGAGATGACACCCAAGAGTTACCTAATTGAAATGATTTAGGTGACTTGAAAAAGATGGAAAATCGTTGGATAAATTGTATCGAGCTGAAAAAAATGAAAAAGTGTTTATAATAATATACATAAACTAATAATTATTTTTCAACTAATTCATAATGAATATATATATATGACATCTTTTAAATTTCTACAAAAGTATAGGTGAAGAGAATTTCCACTGAACTCTCTTGAATACCATTTGCTTGATTTAATCCAGATAGCTCTTCCATTAGCTGAGTTGTTCGAATTGGTTTCTATGTGTTAACTTAAAGCTTCCGATCCTTTGCAGCTTTGGAGGTAATTATCAAGATTTTCTTTTTAAGATTCGTACTCCATAACTGAGTATTTTAATATATAAAACGATACTAATCCATTAAATGGAGTTGACTTTTCAGACTATTAGAGTGAATAAGTCAATTAATAGTTTTAAGCAACAGATATTTAAATTAGTGCTTATAGAGTAGAAATGAATAAAAAATAAATATATAAATATTTTTCGAAAATGTTATTAAATATTATAATTTTAGAACAGGCAACCGTTCGATTACAACATTAAAGCGATTTTATATAAGAAAAAATATATCTTTAATATTGTTCAAGCAAATATAAATTTATTTTATTAAAATTCTATTAAAATATATTTTTATAGATATAGTCTCTTCAACTGATGGTTTTTTGAAATGTTCGTATTTCAACTTTTTCTAGATTCATAATATGACTATATGAGATAATTAAAATGATTTAGTTATTAAACCATTTAAAAATAATTTATTTTAAATACATTGAATAAGAAAAAAATGAAATGTTTGTCATCTGAAGTTTGGAAAACTAAGCTTAGTGTTTTGATCACATAATGTAAATCACTGTTATTTACTTATTATATATACCTAAAGATAAAGATTATAAGCAACAAAGGACTTTAATTTAAAATGTAAGGTGTACCGAAAAAATATGGAATGTGTTTTGCAAAGATCCAAAAATTAATTAAAGACGAATACATTAGTTTTATATATTTTTTATAAAAATAAAATTAAAAAAATTTTAAATTTTATTTTGAATTAATCCAAAATGCTTTTATGGACTCATGGACTGGCGGTTAAGAAAAGCTTTTCTAAATAACAAGTTTCGCTGTTTATAGTCGATTAGAAAGAACATTATGTACATAATGTATTGTATTGTAATGTATTGTATTGTCTTGTAATGTTTATGGCAAAAATATAATTAGTTAAAAATATTTTATATATTTTATAAGATCTTCTGAACCATTTGTATTGTTCTATAAATAATGTGTATTAAACGAACTAATATTCAGTATAATTGTATTTAATTTTTGTTTGGATCTTATCAAACTTTATCTCCAAATTGAGTTAATGGTTGTCAATAGACAAAAATATTTCATCAACAAAGTGTAAATCCCTTGTGGGTCCAGAAACTGGGTCAGTAAATGCTCACAGAAACAGAAACAAGTTTCGAACAAAACAAACGGAAACTGACAAAACTTTGATTTATCGCAATCCAATCTTTCGTTACTCGCTGACAAAATCTCATATCTCGCCTTACTCGCTGACAAATTCTCGTATCGCGACAAACAATAAATAAACGCACATAAATAAAAAGCAACTGTTTTTCAATATTCATTATGATAATGTATTTTTAACATAAACTTTTTGTTTCAAATTCTTTCCAATATTAATAATGCTTAATTTCTATTTCTATTATTTTATTAATAATAATATTAAATTTCAGTTAATTTTCTTACATACGTACAATTTATTAAAGATACTAAAAGCATTCAGATACATCACACATTTTTTCTTACGCTATCGTATTTATTGGTTTTATTGGCGCATAAACATCGGTTCAGAAAGCAAACCATAAAACTCGATAATAATAAATAAAAAATAATCCAAAACAAAAACAAAATATTATATTATAAACTAATAAATTAATATTAGAAGTTATGTAAACAAAATTAAGTCTTAACATTTTCAATATACAAATGTTTCTTCCATTGCAGTTCTTCTTCAGATACAAAAAGAAAACTTTTTCGGACATTAAAAGTAATACAAAAACTTAATTAAAAAAACGTTAAAATTATTTTAAATATTTGCTTTTAACATTACTGCTTATAATTTATTTACGTACACTGCCGAAGCACTAAAAATATTTCCGACTGAATATTTAAGAAATTACTCACTTTTATTTACAATTGCTCCGTTCAAATCATTTAAAATTAATATTTACAAAAATAATTTACATTTTGTTAGAATTAAATAAAAACTTAACATACAAGTGGGAGTGTTGCCACCTTAACGACAAAAACGGCACATAAACGGCACAAAAACGGCACATAAACGGCAAAACGGCAGTACAAGTCGCCTAGACGCCGTATTTGATGCCGTAGTCCTGGTAGTGTCCCACATGTGAACGGTAATGACTTAAATTGCTTAGATTGCTTAAATTGCTCAAGTTGCCATTTAAATGATGATGGTGATGATGATGATGATGACTATTGATGACTGCGGCGGCAGCTGCAGCGGATGCTGCAGCAACACTGGCACTGGCCGGCGGACTTGCGGACTGTATGCTGCCGTTGGGGCTGCCAGTGTCCATTTGGCAGGATTGATTTTGTTCGAATATGATATCGCGGAAACCCAGTGCAGTATGTCCAATAACGGATGTAGGACTACTTGTCACCACTGAAGTGTTGTTGTTGTGTACATTTGAGCTGTTGTTGTTGTTATTACTATTTGTGGGCGTGCCAGCTGCAGTACCATTACCAATTGGTTCGGATGGTGGTGTTTCTGGTGTATACCAACCACCATGTGTTGGTCCGTGCGGAGTTGCGATGGTTGTAGGTGAAGCACCTGACGAATTGGTGGTGGTGCCTGAACTGATGCCACCTAATTGCACACTGCCATGATGACCACTTGCAGGCGTTAGTGGATGCGAATGTGAAATATGATGATGGCGAAGTTGTGCATGATGCGCAGCGGCCGCATGATGAGCATGCATTTGCGATGAAGCTACGGTCAGATTGTCCTCGTTCAAATGATATGGATAAGCACTGTGGTGTATGCGTGGGTTATAAACATTCATCAGCGAGTCTACTGTAAAACCATGTTCCACGGTACCAGTTAAGTGATTCATTTGTGCTAAGCTATCGTGACAAGAATTAAGCATAGCCGAACTAAGTCCTCCGTGTGCATCTTTACCCGTTAAGCAACCTAATTCCATGATAGGTTCTTTCTTGAAATGCGTATGTGCCATATGCTTGGGATCAAGTATACCATTCGTCATTAGTTTCAGTGGCTTGATTTCCGCAAGTTTTTCGTTCATCATAGCCTGACGTTTCATGGCTTCTTCCTTTTCACGTAGAACATCTTTTTTCTTGAAACGACGACGTCGACGCAGAAATGAGCCATTGTCGAACATATTATAAGAATCAGGATCAAGTGTCCAGTAAGAGCCCTTGCCCGGCTTCTTGTCATCGCGTGCCACCTTCACGAAACATTCATTCAGACTTAAGTTGTGACGTATGGAATTTTGCCAGCCTTGTTTGTTGTCTCGATAGTACGGAAACCGTTCCATTATATATTGATAGATTCCATTTAGTGTGACCTTCTTGTCTTGTGCATTTTGTATAGCCATGGCTATTAATGCTATGTACGAATATGGCGGTTTGACAATTTCCTTGTTCTGGTGTGGCGCACCTAGGCCATAAGCGGTAGCAGGATATGAATAGCGTGAATATTGATCATAAGCATAATGCGCTGCGGCTGCAGCGGATGCTGTTGTCATGGCGCCGGCAGTTGCCGCTGTGGGATAACCGGCGGTTTGCGCATAGTGACGCGAAAATGAATTCTGATCCGTAAAAAGCGTATGCATGGTTTTTTGAATGTTTTTTGAGATCAAATGCAATTTCAGGAGTTTTATTTATATTATTATTATTTTTTACACACTGAATACTGATGTTTCAGATTCCTTAGAGTTAAAGGATATTTCACAAAATTCTTCCGTTTAAATGCAAAACATTTTTGTAATTAAAATATTTTAAATATTCTTAGAGCAACATTTTATATGGTTTTTTAATATATATTAAATATTTTATTTTTTTATTTTCAAAATTTGTCTTAAATTTATTTTTGCTATATTTATTTTGTTTAAAAATATTTATTTAATTTCACTTTGGCATATTTTAAAAGTAAACTTTTTTTTGTTTCTTCTTGTACAGCTTCACTGGCTGATGCTTTTATTTATTTTTTCTTTAAGGAAAAATTAGAAAAACAGCAAAGTTTATTTATTTAAAAATTACTTCTTTTTTCTTTTATTGTTTGTTGTTTTTTAAACCACTTAACGGTGCTTTTAGCTTCTGCACTTTACAAGCTGCGCAACCGATCCGTACTCGTTAGTAACACGTCAGATACTGAATCAGTAACTGAAATAACAAGAAAATCTCGGCAACGGTGTGTGTTGCCTCGATCGACGTCGCCGTCAACGCCAGCACCCGCACTTTCCACACATTATGTAGTTGTGTTAGTATAACGAAAACTCTATGTATGAGTGAGCAGTACTTTACGTGCAATTGTTACATTTTGTTGTTGTTTCTTGTGATACTGTTTTAATGTTTTCATGGCACAGTTCCACCATTCACCATTCACCACAGTAGCGCAACAGCAAGCAGAGGAAAATTACTCCGTGGTTGATTTCTCTTTCTGTGATAGAAAAAGCAGTAAAACTCGTATTTAATTACATTTGTGTGGAATGTTGCCCCATGTGATAATAGAAATGCTGTTGTATTGGTGCATACAAGCAAATATGGTTTTAACCGAGAGAAAGAAGCTATTGTAAAAGAAGCTACTGCAGCAGTCAGAAAGCTATATAATACTTGAAGTGTATATTTACAGATAAATGTTAATGTAGGTATATATGCAGTTGCTCTATAGTTTCGTATGTGTTTGAAGTTTAGGATTTGTTTTTGTTATTCAGGTTACCGCCGCCATTCATGATTTTGAGTTGTTGAATGATGCGATGGCAAAAATTCGCAACTTGTCTACCATACAAATTGACTAAATCGTTTGCAACAGCAAAAAGAGAGCAACAAATTTTAAAAAACATTTTAATACTATTAAATATATGTTGAAAAATATATTTTATATGAAAAGACAAATTCTATTATTTATTTAAATACTTTCAATAAAATAGAAATATACATAATTTCCAATAAAATTGAAGTTGTTTTATTTATTAAGTAAGTGATAATACTTTGCTTGCTATCACCTACTCATCAACCATTTGTTATTTCCTGCGCCCACATTAACTCTTTTTTACCTTTTCCATACATATGTTTACTATTTTCATTGCATATTTAGTAGTTTTCGTTTAGTTTGCGCGCATGAATTGCATAAATCATTTGTTAATATTCCGTCGTGTTCAACTATGCCGTTGTTAGTTTACTCCTGCTCCAACATAACCAAATTATCTCACGGCTATACACCAATACCATTACTCTAGTTAACTATTTTACCAACAACAACGCCACAACAAAACTCATGGGTATAATAGCATAGCACAGCATAGCAGCACATCACGTACACATAGCAGAGTATCGTCTTCAGTATTGTGTTTTGTTGTTATTGCTGTGTTGGCGTGTATTTTCATTGGGCAGGCATTAGGCATTCAAATTTTCATCGACAGACAACTACTTCCACTACCTCTACCTCTTGCTTCTCTTGTTTCCAGTCGTTAGTTGATATTGTGTCCAAAAAACACAATCTCGTTCTGCTTCTACTGTTGCTGTTGCTGTTGTTTTTGTTATTATTGTTGTTGTTGTTTTAGTTCGTTATCCTTTGCATGTGCTGCTACTGTTTTCAGGCACTGCGTCGTATACTGCGTTGCATCTCACTTTTGTACTTTATTGCCTGGATTTATTGTTTTAGTTTACATTATGGCCAAGTTTAGTTTGTACAGGTTTTTGGTTATTGCTACCCGTTTGCGGTGTTGCGTACGAAAGAGATGGCTGCTTGTGTTTGGGTATTACTGTGTTTGCTTGAGAGTTTTGTGTATATTGACAGCAGTACGCTATTAATCCTTTACTACAATATTTTTCTTCTGCATAAGTTATGCTTATAATAAATTTTTTTCCTTTTAATTTTTGGTTTCATTATGCGTAGGTTGGACTTTTAAACGATTATCAGAATATTATTTTTGGTGTAGTAAATTGTGTTAATTTACAAATTATTTTATATACAAATTTTGTACTTCATTATAGGCACCTGTAGTTAAAGTAAAATTAATTTTATTGTATAAAAAATTTAATGAGTAAATAAAATTATAATAAATGACTAATTACAAATGACATTTTTATTGACTTTAAATTATGTAGTTTTGTATATAAATTCATTTTTAGTAATAGTCCTTTCAAACAGACGTGTAAAACCGGTTTAACTTCGTGAAGCTGATTTAACTGCTTAAACCTGTTATTAAACATGTTTAAACTTACACAGTTGTTAGTGCAGAAATATTCATAAACACGTCTAAGAACGCGTTAAAACTTCACAGGGTTGCTTCGAGAAACTTCTTAAATACTTAATACTGTACTATAAAATACTATGATGTCCGCTATAGACAACACCTAATAATAACCATATAAGTTCCTAAATAGCACCATTGAGATTTTACACTAATTAAGTTTCTTTGCTTGAACCTGTAAATCAAATTAGAGTGGAAAGTATGGAATCATTTTGGTTATTATAGATATCTTATATGTCAATCACATATATTATTCGTAAAAAAAAACATAAAAGGATAAACTTAAAAATGATAAATAATAATAAATATAATCTATGATTTAATATTTTTCCTTAGGTACATGTGGTTTAAAATTAACAACTTAATCGACTAAGGATGGGACAAATTAAATAATTTTTTGCTAGTACGTTTAAGGGGATATCCTCTAATCCTGGGGTAGTGTGGGAAATGAGGACAATATAAAATACTTTTAGCCGACAAATAAATCTTCTGAGTGCGTAGGAACCCACATCACTCTTGACTACTATAAGTTCGAGAAGAAGAATCACACTTGCCAAGAAATGCAACTTCGGGCTATGTAGGCAATTGAGAAATAAGCTCTCTCTCTCTAAAAACAAAAATCACACTCTACAAGTCTTTCTTCATGTCTGTCCTTCTATATGGTGTAGAAGCTTGGATAATTATCAACAATGAGAAGGCATTAAGAGTATTCGAGAGAAAAATTCTTCGGAAAATCGATAGCCCGTTATGCGTTGGCAACGAGTATCGAATTAAATGGAACGATGATCTGTGTGTGCTATACCGCGATATTGACATAAAAATACGGCGGCTTACTGACTTGGTCATATCATGCAAATGGAAGAAAGTGCTCTAGCTAGAAAGAAGTTTTATTCGGTACGTACACGCAGTTGAAGGACAAGATAACCAACGATTTGGGGCGCTTGATAATAGTAACTGGCGACTAGTTGGGCTGGCTGGTGGAGACTACTCGACGCGGTCAAGCCCGACTTACCTATGTAATGGCCAAATAAGAAAAAGTAGAAAAGAGATTCTCTAATTCTAAACGCTTATCTGTAGTCTGGTATAATGAAAAACACTGAAGAAAGACACTGATGAATCAACAAAATATATAGTGAAAGCAGTTTTAGTTGTTTCTTTTAATTAGCAATTTGTTGTTATTCAATAGTCTTCTTAATGAAATGGTCTATATCGGGAGCTACGTTTTTAGAATACAGTCTATTAGTCTATTAAATTTTATCCCAATTAGAGTCTGTAGACTTGAAAGTGATAAATATTATTTGTTTAAATGTTTAACATTATTTTTAAAATTAAAAACTTAAATTTTTTATTATTAAACAAAATTGTTATATTTATAATTTATTCCTTAATTTTCTGTAGAAAATCAAACTTTTCGAAATTTTGAAGTATCTTTTCCATTCTTTTTTTATCTCTATCTACATGTATTATAATTATTTTTGAAATATATTTAAAGTTGTAGAATGAATTTATATTTCATTTAATTAATGCAGTAAAAACATTGAAATTGAAATTATTCCTCGATATAAATCCCAATCCCAATTACAATCAAACGAACTCATGAGTATCTTGGCCTCTTGAGCGTATTTAGACTAACGCAGCAATCGCATTATTTTGACAAATATTTTTATTGTTTTAACATAATTTTTGTATATTACAGAAAAAGCTGACCACTCAAGATAGATTCACAAACAGCAAAGTTGAATTCTTGTGCCCGTTCCCTAAACTTTTGGAACAAATATAATATTTCACAAAACCATGTATATGCTCCAACTCATGCCTTAGCAATGCCTAGATTCAATTATCTTAAAATTCCAAGGACAAGGTTGCGTCCATCAACCTTCCTCCTTCCCCAATAAATACTTAAACATTTTTCCTTTTGTAGAAATTGCTTTTGTATCTCAAAGTTTAAGTTTTCATTTGAAATTCGAATGAGAATTTCAAATTTTTTCTAACTGAATCGTCTTGGGTTTTGTGGGTTCACTTTGTTCTTTTGGCATATCATCATAGAACTGAACTGAAACAGATGTTCCTCTACACGAGTGAGCAGAAGATATCAAGACTCAACAGCGGATTCGACTTGATTTGAGCGTTGTTTTATTAAAATTTCAATAATATTTTTCTTGTGGTTTCCTTGGAGAGATGTCTGACCTGTGAACGAGTATCTGTGTAACATGCTTCTTCTATGCGTGCGGCATAGACTAATGTAGCGAGTATCTTTTGCTGTCAAATGCGTTTTAGCCAATTTGAACATCAAAATAAATAAAAATACTTAAATCGCAAAAATGAAAAGAATCGAAATTTATTATGATTTCCATAAAAACAAACTGTGTACGAGAAGTGGAAAGATAAATAACACGATTCGCCTTGCCACAACGACGTGCAAAGGGTTACATAAATAAAACGTGAGGTACGAGTTTTATCAAAATAAAAAG